TTTCCATGGTTTTGGATTGAGTTGGTCTAGCTTTTAAAAGTGAACCTACTACAGAGAGAAAATTGGGCTAGTTTTCCTATTCTGCTACTTTGCAAGGTTGGGGGGGAGAGCCTGAAATGAGTGGATTTATTTTTCCTACAAGGAAAAATACTAAGTGTGTGAAACGTGGTCTGGCCCGAGGCTCTGATAATTGTTGCTTTCTCCATCCTTATTTTGGGCTGGCAGGATGCGAGATCCCCAACAAAAAGGGCTTTCTTCCTCAGTGCCTTCCTCACAGATGGTAACGAACCCACAGGCTTTGGAGCAAGCAGGGGAGGGTGGGATCATTTCCCCAGTCTCATGGCTTTTGCTTTCTTTGATCAACTACCAGGATGACGGTGCAAGTCCCATCACCCATCATGCAGGCAAGACCTGAGCTTCAAATCTCAAAAACAGCAAAACAAAAGACCCCTCTTATGGACAGGCCTTGTTATATATTGGGGAAGACGGCATAAACCCAGTTTTTTTTTCCCTCTCTCCACTGTCAGTTCATCTTTAAATACAATCCTGAATCCACTGGGCCTTGCTTCTCGAGTCAACCTGGTTGAAGCACGCCAGGAGCTTTGAATGGCAGTGAATGTAGGGGAGGTTTTCTCCTTGGGACAACAGCAGTGAGCTGCCTGGCTCTCATCATAGCTGCAGTGGGAGCTGTTGGACCTGGCTGCCGCTAATGTCTGGGGGGGGACGAGGTGGCCTGGGAGATGGGCAAGTGAGAAGGGAAGTCAACTGAGATCAATGAAAAGCCACATGCGTTTGAGGTTTAGCCTGCTGCGGCAGCAGTGCAAAGTGCCAATATAGATGCTCTGCACTGGTGCAGTGTTACCTTTTGGGGTGGTCATGAGTGGTTTGTCCTAGTGAGGGACCCCAACAGTCAGAGGCCCCTTGTGTTACTCTCTGTACAAATACACTCTGCGAACTCTGGGGCAGGGCTTCTCAGTCTACATAAACCAGATGGACAAGAGTGGGACAGAGAACTGATGAAGAGGTAGTGACATTTTATTAGGTAACATAGGGGGTGGTCTCTCTGGCAGAGCCAGGAATAGAGCAAGACCTGAGCCCCTGTCCAGATCTGTCCTCGCTAGATCTTGCTGGCTTGGCAAGTTTTGTGCATTCAGCCATACTCTTTTTTCCAATGCAAATATTATTTTAAGAAGGAACCCTCCACCTGCCCATGTTTGTGAATGGACAGGACTCCAGCAGGTGCAGAAGAAAAATACTGATGCTAGGTGTGTCCTTAGGAGAACATCTCATCCACCCTAAAGGTGCTGAGATGCTGCTGACCTATGCTAGCCTAGGTGGCACCTCCAGAGAGCGGATGTGATGGTGGAAGCTTTAGGATTTTGTAAGCAGAGCAGTGTTGCGGTGGCTTCTGCTGTGGCTGTCTCCCCAGGGTGAAGGGTGGCTGCTGTGTGCTGTCTGAATGACAGAGCTTCACTGGGAAGCTTTTAATAAAGTATTTTCTAGCTGTTTAGCTATAAAATCTAAAGCTGGGGATACACTTTATAAAAGATGATTTTGCAGTAGCACTCGTATCTCAGCTCCCGCATTCAGGCCAGCCCCAGAACCATTCTGGAGCACGTCCTGCAGGAGTTCTCAACCCTTTTAGACTTGAGACCCCCCTCGGAAAATGCCAGCTCTTAACTTTCATTCATTTTGTGACGGGGTGGAGAATAATTGAGCAGTGGTTCTATTGCAAAGAACCCTTAAAGCCCAAAACAGGGCAAAACATTGTTGACATTATAGTTTCCTATGTATGATCTTTGGGTTTAGCTTGTGAATTGTATGTAGGAGTTTGCATATCTAATGGTACTAATATTATGGCACCCTTAAAAAGGATCACATGGCACCCCAGGGGTACCGAGGCACCCTGGTTGAGCATCATTGATGCAGCAGCTGTGACTACTTTGCCCAACGTGTGCTGCTATCTCAGTAGAGGAAGGGTTGGCTGGCTGCAAAGCGAGGGGAACATAAAACTGACCTGGGAATTTCCCACCCAGCCTGGCTAATATCTCTTCTTTCCAACCTATTTGCAGAGTAATGATCCCCTATGCAAAAGATGCTGTATCGATGCCCAGTAGGTTATTTCTCAGTCTTGCTGCTTGATAGTACTCTGTGCTGTCCCTTTGCATTGGCAATACTGACTCATCTCAGCAAGGTGTAAAGAGCCCGGCTGTTTCATGTGCACCTGAGCTGAATCCCTGCCATACAGGCTGGCAGCCTGATGAGATGCTTACTTTCTACCAAAACCCTGAAATTGGATAAATAATTGAAAACTGCTGATAAATCATCTCCCCTTACCCTGTTTAAATTGTAAACGAGTCGTGACGCTGAATGAAGATCCGGGGCGGTGGGGGGAAGACTCTTGATTGATCGATGTACTAAGATCACCCTCAATTATGTGGCTGCTTTTGACCCAAAACGTAATGGTTCTCTAGCTCTGAATCTTGGGGGCTTTTCCTAGCTGAAGTTGGCTTAAACATTGCTTCACCCTTCAGTTCAGGACTTGATGTGCAAGCTTATCTTGTCTGCTCACACTTCTTCCAAGGTGCTTGCTCAATTGATGATGCCACCACAAAAATGACGGTAAACAGTTGGAGACGCAGCTTGTATAGCATTAGTATACTGTTTTGGATGGGAAGGAGAGATAACTTGGAATGGGCTTAAAGCCAAGAGTAAAGGGGATTGTAATGTATCTTATAACCATATGGGCTTTCAATGGTGAAGGTAGCTTAAAGGAGTGGTGAAAATGTGATCGTTCAATGCAAGATCAGATGCACAAGTTTATTGTAAAAAATCTCAGAAAAATAATGAATGATTGTTTGAGACTCTTAGTGGATTTTTTTCTTCAATTACCATGGTCCTCTTAAATTATGCTGCAAATGTAGACTCCATTTTCTATAGCTAAATGAGGGTGCCTCTCTCGTGTTGCCTTAACAGTAAAACTATTATCCCCAACCTAGAAGGGACATTTTGTCAGTGGTGCTGTTTAAGAGTTTTTTTGTTTTTTTTTTTTTGTTTTTTGTTTTTGTTTTTGTAGCAGTTACTTAATTCTGGCCCTTTCTATAGCTCAAGCTGCTAATGAGGTTGAATAGCAAGCTAGGTCCATTTGTGCTGCTGTTCTTTTGACACAATCAGAACCTGCCAAATTTAAATTAAGATGGTAGTTTGTTTCCGCAGGTGAGAGGCAAAACAGTTCAGAGATTGAAAGCAAATGTTTGTTTGGCTGGCTTTGCAGCTGTTCCTTTACCTACCATAGTCATCAAATCTGCCAGTTCACCCAGCAGAAATGAAAGAGAAAAAATGCTGTTTTATCAGACCAGCTACAAGACCAGTCCCCATGCCAGAGGATACGTCCTTGCTCACCAGTTTACATGTATAGTGCGGCAGGCGTGATACTAAGTAGGAACAAACGCAAATAGCCAAGTAATTTTCTGTCTCTGCTGTACATATGGAAAGGAACCAAATTGCTAGCCTCCTCGAACCTTGTTTTTCAGCAAGGAGATGCATGCTGTTGTAGAAATACAGGCAGAGCAAAAGAAATGTAATGAAAAGCACGTGGGTTTTTGGAGGGGCCGGGAGGGAAGGGGCTGTATGTAGAGCTAGAGCTTGGCAGTCCTTGCAGGACGCTGTTCAGAAAACACAAACAAAAAGCCTTTGGCACGCTTGCAAGTTGGAGAGAGGGGACATCTCAGAGGGCAGAACCACACACTGTGTTTAAGTGGCCAATCCAGAAACGTGAAGAAGACTTAAAATAGTCTGTGTTCAAAATGCAACACATTAAAGCCAAGGCAAGTTGTTGGGTTTTTTTCCCCACAATGGATTTGTCAGACAGCGCCTTGCTTATAAAAGTTACTAGGCCCAAATTTTACAGGGCCATCACCTCTGTGAACTAATTGCAATTTGAGCTCTGTTTGGATAATGTAAACTCTGTTCCCAGAAGCATGTGACCTCATAGATGATACTGGTGCACAAACAAGCGAGCGCGTGTGTGTGTGCACGCACGCACATGGTCACTTGGAAACCCAGGGCTGAGTGCTGCATCAGCTTTGGGGTGAGAGTTTTTTATTTGGTCTTGCTTGGAACTGAAGCACGTGTATTGGTTCCCCTACTGATTTTCTTCCTATTTGAGCTGATGTTGATGCTGCCGCTCAAGCTCGAGGCAGCTCTGCTGATATCTGTAGCTGTGGAAGATGATGATGTTGGATGTCTAAAATACGTGCTTATCATCATGGGGTGGATGTTGGAGGGCTTGGTTCTGTCCCTGCCTAGGTAGCTGTAACTAAGCCCCAAGATTTTAGCTTTTAAAGGGTTGCATTTGGTCTCCTCTTCACTTGATATCTAAGAATATAAGAACTACCCTGCTGGATCAGAACAAAGGGCCATCTAAGCCAGTGTCTTGACTTCTGACAAGTAGCAGATGATTTAGAGGAAAACTAAGAAACAGGCTTAGTATAGAGTTAGCCTCCCCTTATCATACCTCCTCCACATTTACCAGCTGGCTTAGGGGTAGGGATGTCCTGGCTGTTGTGCTTTTAATAGCTCTTGATGGACCAAACCTCTGTCATTTTATCTAATGCCTTTATGAAACTGGTTATACTGCCACCAAATATGAAGGGCAGTAGTGAGTTTCACAAGGTTAAAAGTTTTTCCTCGTCTGTCTCTTTGCTTTAGTTTAAACCTGCTACCTGATGATTGAATTGGGTTACCTCCCTGGCCATGTATTAGGAGACGTTGTGAATAACAGTTCCTAACTTCCAAACCGGTTTTGATGACATGGGCTTCAATGTAGTATTCTGTAAATATGTAGATTAACATGATTTTTACACACGGGCACTCTCATCTCGGTCGTGACACTAGTGACCCATCCTGGGCTAATTGCTTCTGGGCGGAGGGTGGAGAGGTTGCCTCCTTAAATCGGACACAGGACCAATTTGTGTTTGTCCTTTTTTTGTCTCTCGCAGAGTGCAGCTGCAGCCCCGAGTCCAGTCCTTGGAAACATTCCTCCTAACGATGGAATGCCAGGGGGTCCCATCCCTCCGGGTTTCTTTCAGGTAGGTTTGGACTTTCCTGACTTCTCTGTCGGTGGTGGATGAGTGCGTGCATGGATTCTCAATGTCAGCGCTGCAGTTACCGTCGGGGTCCCATGCTAGACTCGGACGTTTCACCCTGCTCTCGTTCTGTGGCTAACTCAGCGTTTTCGTTAGAAAATCTATTATAAATAACTGTAACCTTTGACTGTTTTTCTACTTTTTTTTTTTCTTTTTTGCCTGAAGCACGTCAAATTCTTCTCTTGCTTAGAGAGATTCCTTTTTGTTTGTTTGTTTTTTTTTTTGTTTTTTTGGGTTTGTTTTTTTTTAGCAATTGATATTTTTTCCAAAATGAAGGGTTGGGATTTTTTGGGTGGGGGGGTGTGGTTCGGTTGGTTGGGACTTCATTTATTCTCCGGTCATAAGAGGCTTGTGCATAATTCAAAACATTCTGGATTTGAGTTCTTGAAACCTTTTCCCTCTGGTTAACCACTTGATTTTTTCCAACTGCAATCACTGAAAGCATTTGCTAGCTCAAGCACTAGCCACAGGCAGGCGCGGATTCAAAATGGGTCAAAATGTATCGAACGTCGAGGAGACACCTTGTCAGAATTTGTCTATCACCAGCTCTCAAATTTTCTTCCCTGTTTAAAAAGCTTCGTTTTGTCTTCGCCCTGATTCTAGACACAGTAACATAATCTTCAAGACTTCCTAATGGGAAGATCTTTAAAGAGCATTTGAAATGGAAGTTGTCAAAAATGTATGACGTTTAACATGTTTTTTAACTTCTCCTGGAACCTCTTTGCATATGTGCTCGTTGTAACTACATAACATCTTGGTGCCTGAAAAAAAAAATATATATATATTTTACTACTTCAGAATAAGCGACTTGTTCTTGTAACAAATGGGCCCAGCGGTTGGCAGCAGCATTTGTTCTAGCAGGTTGCTTTTGTCATCTGGGTTCGTGATTTGTATACAGGAGAAATTCTTGGCCAATAGACAGCTTAACTAGATAAACTGGTAGTGATTTATTATGGCACTACCTGAGCATGGTATCGCAATTAGTGTGCGTGTATGGGAGTTTGGCAAAGAGGTTGGTTTAAAAACAAAATCTCATTTCCTGAAGAGGCTTACGACAGAATGAGAATGTTTGATTTTGATTAGGAGCCCTAAACCAGGCTCGTCTTGTAGTAAAACCTCTTCCATATAGGTGCAGTAAACAGAAGTGGAGATGATATCTTGCAGGCTATAGCAGCTGTCAGCAAGTCAAGTTCTGCTCCTTGCTTGCAACAAATGTGTTTTCAGGGTTTTAATTTCATTCCCTTGGGCAGGGAGATGTCCTTCCATAGCTTCACCTCTGCATGTATTGATGCAGACTTGTAGGGAGCCCACGGTTCAAAGCAGGTGCAGAGGTCATAGGCTTTATTCTCTGCTGGGCAATTGGTGGCAGAGGAAGGGGACTTGAGCTCCTGATGCAGGGACCCCAGATGACATTCGGGTCTTGGTTTTCCCCTGGCTTAGGCTTTAGGCCTCTGTCCTCCATGCATGCCGTGCTTTTTTTTTAAAGGACACTTTCATCTTTGTTTCATTTACTAAATGACCTTGTGAGGTCCCTTCTAGCCCTCCTTTATTATCCTATGAGCCCCTGACACTAACTGGACTCACCCCAGTGCCCCTGCTGGAGTTGATATTCCCACATGGTGATACTGGGGAAGGCCGGTTCCCAAGCAGCAACTTGCCCGTCTCCAGTGATCCAGCTGGATGTCTGGGGAAGCTGAGCAGAGATAACATGCCATACAGACGGGCTGTGTGTTGTGGAAACTCCCTGTGAAGCGTAGCCCTTTTAGCTGATTTTCTGACCCGGGCACAAGAAAACTTGGAGCAAAACAGGCTTGACCCTTAGTTCAGTGATGGAAGTGTAAAGTGAAAAATACCTGTTGTTGCAGATTAGCACTCAGACACTTGGCTTGCCAAAGACTTTACAAGTGATTGCCTTTCCTTGATAGGCACCAGACACCTGTTTCTCATCGGGGGGGTGATGGAGGCAAGGGGGTTATCCCATCTTTTCATACAGTCTGAACTTTTTGGCCAAAAGCACGTTAACCTCTTTGAAATGCTCAGATCACTTCCACTTGAGACCACAAGGTTTTCGTGCAGCCTTGTCCGGGGGTTTCTGTGTTGAGTCACTTGCTGGGATGGTTGGGGTTTTTTTGGGTTTTTTTGGTTAATTTCTCTGCTGGAAAATAAAATACTGAGCTTGGGAGGGCACAGCTAGAAAGGTCACAGGAAATGTGAAGTAGTTAAGGTTTTTCTTCCAGACTTTTTTTTTCATACCAGCTAGAAGATTTTTGCAGTGCTTCCCTAGAGCGAAGAGCAAACCTGAGGTGGTGGAAGTGGAACGTGGAATCAAATTGCAGGAGACCATTGAATTAATGGAAAAACAGGGAATTTTCATGAGCTGCTGTAACAAAATCTTAAGCTCTTTGAAGTCTGCCATACATTTGAGTTTTTGTCTATTTAGTGGTTAATATGGATTCCTGTGATTTGTACAAATGAATACAATTCAATTGTAGAATAGCATTCACTTCTGCAGAACGTCACATGCAGAAGATCCCTTGATTCTCTCCCTAGCGTGAACTCGATGTGAGACAAGTTAGCGGGCGGCTCAGAGAGCCTGAGGACAAGAAGGGAGGAAGGGATCGTTTTAAAGAAGGATTCAGAGAAGGAAGATGCCTGGCCCATGAGGACACAGCTTGTCCCAGGTATCGGGGTGGCGTGGCAGGAGACACAAACTAAGGAAAGGAGGTAGAAGGTGGAGACTGTTCGACCAGCTGAGCCTGCCTTGGTGCAATGGAGGAAGAGGATTGTGCAATTACAAGGGAGTGAAAAAGAGTGCCGGTTTGGGGGGAGAGTGGTTCAGAGATGACTGGACTGTTTTGGAGAGGTGTGGATGCTGGCTTGAACAGAGGGGGAGAAGTCGAGGTTAGGGACAGGGTTTTTGGGGTGCACTGGAAGAAAAACCAAACCTAGGGAAATGAGGAGGGTCATAATACAGCAGAGAAATGCTGATGAGCCTGACAGGCTGCCTGGATCCATATGTTGGATAAGGGGGGGTCTCTAGGGCTGGCGGGGAGTTCCCACAATCCTCGTTGTGAAGCCGTTTTTAGTGCAGACGATGGCCTGTGGGCCGAGTGTGCAACTCGCACAGTTCTGAAATGTAGCTGCAGGCCACAGCTTGGTATCAAAGATGAGGGTGCCCCCAGGAGACGAGTCCCAGCACACCTGGCCCCATCTGCAGGTCACAACTTTGTAGTGAGCGACGGAGCGCCTCGCAATCTGTTCCTTTCCATACGAGCTAGCCACGACCTGCAGCCTCCCAGTAAACACAGGCTTTTTTAGGTGGGCAAAGTTGGGGGAGCCCAGGTCGCAGAGTACTGGCCAGTAAACCCCGCTGCTGCTGGACACCTTCCCAGAAATGAAACACTTCAATGAATACCGTGTCCACACACGTGGCTTCAGAATATCGATGAGTGGGTGGCAGCAAACTGCGCTGCATTTAGCCTGCAACTGTCGTGCAGATGCAGGTTGTCCAAACGGCAGTCACGTGGCTGGTTACCTTTTTAAAATCACCTTCCCCTCCTGACTGATATGATAATGATATATGCTACCAAATATATATATCCTCTGTCTTCTTCATAAAGGTCTTGGAAGTTCTTTCCACCCCTGTTAGGGAGTTGCATTTCTGCCTAGTCTCAAAAGCAGTAGAAAAGATCTCTTCTTTTCCTAGCGGTGGACAGAAAGGGTTTATTTGATCATGGGGAGGGCAACACTGAAAGCTAGAAGCAAGTTTAGAGCTTTACTAATGATGCCATGAAAACAATTGTGTGTAAAGCAAGGGGAGGGGTGGGGGGACTGTGTGCACACCCATGCGCGCGCGTCGTGAGCATACGTACGTAATAATGAGACAAACTCAGTGGCAATGCATTTCTCCCGGATTTGAACTCTGTCCATAGCTCTGTACCACTCTCTCTGATGAAATGGAAAGTTGAACATAAATCAATGTCTGTGGCTGCGTTAGCTATGCATCAGCAGTTAGTGCGAGAGATGCACCATAACAAAGCCCTGGTTAGTCGGTGTTCCTACACTGCCCCCTAACGCCTAGAAACCTCGGGAGCCACGCATGGCGCCGGGGCTTCACAGTTCGTTTTTCATTTGGCTCCTTGCTGTTCGTTGCCCAGAATAAATGTGGTTGCTTGCCGGTGTGTAATCCTGTCGGTAAAACAAAAACACAACTAGCGGAGGCACAAGTGAGGCACTATCTGTAACACTTAATCCCCTAGGTGAGGCTTTCAGGCTCCCGTTCCTTTTTTGCCATCACAGCAGATGTCTCTCTCTCTCATTTCTAAAGCCTTGATTATTACACTTCTTACAAGTAGTTCTTACTTAATTGAGTGAGTGGCTTATTTCTCTTGCGTTGAGAAATTATGTGGATATCTTGTTGTTCAGTGAGGGGGGGGGGGGTTTCCCTTGGGTTTTCAGCATAAACACATTGCTCCTGGTTGTGTAATAGAACTGATCGTGTGCCCTTGCTTGCTAATAAACCGGAGGCAGTCTGTTCGCACTCTTCACAATATCAGAAGGGAACTGATCAGTTATTTTTAAAGCAAGGGGGATATCCTAGTACTTGAAAATCCAGATTGGTCTGTCCCTATTCCCTGGTTAAAAAGCAAAGGGCTTTTCAGTGCAACGCTGCTGTTCCAGCCTCTGCATTCAGACTATCCAGGCTGGTTTGCCTTGCCACTGCTTTTGCTGGGGCTGTGTGATGAAACCTGAATTTGAGCCAGAGTGCCAGGTCCTTGTGGTGTGTTTCTTGCCACAGCTGCAGAGGTCTTTCCTCCATCAGCCTTCGCCTTGGGGAGAGGACAGCCATAGCAGGGACCAGGGGGTATTTGCATTTATCAAGCGCTTGTGTAGCAAGTCAACCCTGATGCTCACACCAGGCCAGAGAACAAAGTCCGCCTCCT